CCTCGGACAAACACCATCCAGTCGTGGGTAAAGCCTTCCACAGTGGGTTTCTTTCTGACCTGGGCACGGTGACCAAGTTCTAGTTTCACCTGAACAGCACCCTGTGGGATAGAATGATGCTGGGTTACTGCACAAATTAAAAAAAGTTTCTAAAAAATCCTTTTAAAAAGACAAACAAATATATTTCTCGCTCAAGATTTTTACACTCAAAAAATAAAACCTTTTTTGGGTTTTGACATGTTCCATTTACTGCATTTTTTTCCTCCACCCGGCCCGTTATCTTCCTGCACGGAGAACTCCATTCAAAAATCTGCCAATTTAATGAAACATTGCTATTCGTGAACCCCACACACCTGCAAGAACCTGACTTACGACTTCTATCTATTGGCTAAGGTCGACAGGTAAATTCTGAATATATACCACGCATGAAGCAGCAAACATTTCCACAAACTTTATACTATTGAAATTTGCCCCTGCTTTCAACCACTTGGTAACGGTCCGCGCCTATTAAACGATAATGTAATAGAAATAACAAGGAGCCCCTCGGGAAAGTTGAAATTTTACCCGATTTACGTGCTACTTTATGCATTGCGTGTAACATAACGCCGAATTGAAGAACAGACTGTCATCACTCTAAACCGCCTTAAATTGTCCTTTTGCAAACGCGTTTTTTGACAGTAAGCGTAAAAATTGTAAAACTGTTAGGTTTTTGAGCTGAGTTTTGCATTAAGCTCTTCATTCAGGAGATAGCTGCACGTATCGGCTCTAGCTAGCTGTGCGGCTTGAAAATCCTCGTTACGGAGTAAAAACCACCGACTCCACCGGTGTGACAAAACAGCAAAATGTCCAGTTATACCCCTTCGCACCGGACTGGCAAGCAAATCCTCCAAGTGGCTACTCACCGAGTTGGCCATCCTTGAGGCCCCGCGTTACTGTTATTTCATGGAGAATTAGTTTTAAATGAGAGCAGAGGTGAGTACAGTTTGCCTATGACGGCGGACATGGTCTCTCCTGGACTGAAGTCACACTCAAGACTTTCAAAGGCTCGCCGGCTGTCAATCCACCGTAATGACCTAGAGAAATTCCGCCGCGGACTTTCGAAATAAAACCCGCTGCGGCGCGACCCCTCGAAAGCAATGCCATTCCCAATTGGAGAATTAGGTGATTTGCTTTGAAATGCCAAGGTACCTGCATTTTGTATACTACAGAGCATGTTACTATGCTTCAGCCACAGCCAGGATTTGAGAAATACCCTTCCTTAAATTGGACTAGGCATATCCAATACAAGCTCTAAAATTGTTTTATTTAAAAACAATATATAGATTTTACTTTTTAATAATAATATACTTTATTGTCCTTCACAGGAAATTTTTTACCGCAGTCTGTACATACATAC